TACTTGTTCTTTCCTCACTGCTCACATTGCACCTTGTATACACTTTTACAATACACTGTATTAGAACACCTTACTTCTGTACCTTCCTCATCAGGCTATAAACGTTTTGATAGTTTTCTCAGTAGTCCAAGACTTAAAATTTTTATTAACAATTTGAAGATCAAATTTAGTATGAGAACTATCATTTTTGACCTGAGCAAACTGGATAGACTAACCCCAAATAGTTGCAAAACATATATTATAAAAGCAATTGTCTTTAACACTAAGCTTAATAAAACACCACTAATTAAAATAAAGCCACAGACACAGAACAGGCTCCCACCCACTCAAATACAGAGAATAGTGTTGTTTTATAAAGCTTACACTGGTTGCAGTTATAATCTCAGAGATAAGGGCTCCAGGAGCACATATTATATGATACTAAGTCAGAAATGTTATCACATGTTAAACAAAATCAATAAGGATAACAATTAAAAATGTTTTACCTATTATCTCCATGTTTTTCCTTTTCAATATTAAAATTTTCTAAATTTTCCTTTTACAATGAATTTTTAAAAATAACCCAACCTCACTGTAGTGCACTGTTTGTGTGTACTAAAAATTGGTCAGAATCTTAAATGCATTTTTCTTTGACTTCCCACGGAATCCCTCCTTCGTTAACATGTTACGAATAGCACTTAAATCTTACTCCACTTAAAATGTACTATCATAGATACTACAAAAGCACAAAAACCAGTTGGAAGTTATTAAGCAGTGACTTCCTTTTAAGTAATGTATGAAAAAGAAAGCAAGAAATCCAGCATGTACACCATTGAGGAGAAAGAAAACAGATGATGGGGAAGAAGTGGTGAGCCGTCTAAAGGTCTCCCAGGGGCGGCCGTGGCCTTAGTAGGGCCTTTCTGCTCTTTGGAGTGACCATGGCATAAAGACTGTTTAATAACAGGAAGAAAACAGTCTCAAAATTACATGTCAGACACATTCCTAAGTATTTTGACTAACTCAACTATCACATCTGTAAGATAGGTATATTATTATCGCCCAAGCACAGAGGTGAAGGAGATCCTATGCCTACAAAGTAGTGAATCTAGGATTAGAAGCTAACCCACGTAAAGAAGACGGCAAACAAAAAAGGGGAGGTATTATGATGAATGTTTTGTCATAGTATAAGAGGTCAAGAATCATGTGTGTTTTGGGGTACATGTAATGTTATAGACTGTTATTGAAGATTTATGTTCACTGACTAGTTAAATAACAATACAGGTAACAAGAACAAAGCACACTGCGTCTGTGCTCTGTGGTCTCTTTCACACTGTAAGCCAAGAAAGAGGCTTTATTGAAGCTAATCAGCTCATCTCAAAAATTCTAAAAAAAATCTTCATTTTCCAGCATTTTGTATTCAAAAAATAATATATAACTATCATATATAACATGTTAATATGGCTTTGTCATAAATTTCAATTTTTTAAATTTTGCAATGTAATAATCTACAAAGCTTCCACAGAGAAATTTTGTTGTTACAGATTCAATGGTGTTTTGATAAAATACTGACCATATTACTGATGGCTTTATAAAAAGACTTTTTTTGTCTGTTTGTTTAAGAGAGAGATAGAGGGCATGAGTGAGGTGAGGGGCAGAGAGAGAGAAAGAGAGAGAGAGGGAGAGAAAATCTTAAGCAGGCTCCACACTCAGCACAGAGCCTGATGTGGGCTTGACCCCACAACCCTTGGGATCAAGAGTGGAATGCTCAACTGAGCCACCTAAAGCCCCTAAATAAGACTATACTTTAACAAGGCTCTCTTGGTACTTTAGAAAATATTAAAATCTCCATGATATGGTAAAAAGCAAACAAAATAAATTCCAGATGAATCAAAGAAGTACAGGGAAAAAATAAATCACATATAGAAAACCAGTAGAAAACCTATTTGAATATTTATCCAAGTTCTAGAGACTTTCTCACACTAAGACATTATTTGGGAAAAAAAAAATCATAAAAGGAAAGAGTAACAGACAACTAAGAAAAGCTTTCCTGTGTTAAAATAAAACAAAAAGAAGTAGATGGAGAATAACAAAATAAGTATGAATTAATTACGACTTTTCATTTACTTATTTTTAGCAAATATTCTTCAAGGCAATATTATTCAGTGATGATGCAGTAAGACGGACATTCTAATAGGAGTGGGAGAAGTACCAACTGGTACAATTTTTTGGTGAAAGGAATTCGAAAATATGTATTAAAAGTCTTAAAAATGTTTAAATTGAATGGGAGAATCATGGTTTTGAAATGAAGTAAACCTCAATTCCAGCTTTTTTTTTTTTTTTTTTACAGTTTATTCATTTATTTCGAGATAGAGTGAAAGCGTGAGTTGGGGAGGGGCAGAGAGAGAGGGAGAGACAGAGAATCCCAAGCAGGCTACGCACTGTCAGTGCAGAGCCCGATCTGGGGCTCGAATGCAGGAACCGCGAGATCATGACCAGGGGCCCAGGTGCCCCAATTCAAAACTCTTATTAGCTCTTTGACCTTACAACAGTCCCCACGGCCTCTTTCCAGAGATGAGTAATACGAAGTAGCTGATGGATGTGGGGAAGGGAAGAGGTGGGGACGGAAGGAGACGAGCAGATGGCAGTTATCGGTCAACATGATAGAATCTTTAGCTCATATACATTGAGTACTAATCAGAATATTTTCTACTTTTTTATGTACGAAGATTTTGCAGTTTTATCTTAAAGCAAATTCTTTTCCTAATCTTTGGTTTTCCCACTGTCATCACATTACTTTGAAATCTCTGGAATCAATCACTTTGGAATCAACTACTGAATTGATCAATTACTGAATTGGTTTCCCCCACACACAACTTCGCATCTGTTCACTTAACCCTCCTGCCAGATTAGTTTTCCTGACACACAGTTCTAACGAGCTGCATGACTCACAGACCTTCTTTGATCATCCCTCACCAATCATCCGCAGAATAAAGGACAGAAGGGGAACCGGAAAGAATTCGAGAGCCTAGAATGAGCCAAGTATTTTACAAACACCAACTCCCAGGAAAACAGATGTTGTATTGTTATTCCCACACAGGTGAGGCAGCAGAAAAGTAGTGTAGGTAATATATGGTGGAAACAAGACAGACGTCACATTTGAACCTGTATCTGTCACTATACCATCCTGCTCTGCAGTCTCTTAGCACAGCCATCAGAGTCAACAAGGCATTTTCCTTGGACAACAGACTTTCTGCTAAAGCCATCTAACGTCCAGACAGATAAAAACAAGCACTACTTTTTCTAGTTCATATCATTCTTTATGCCTAGACCTCCACACTACAATAGATAAAACTATGTGTGCATCTCAAATCTCAAATGCCACTGCTACCTTCCTATTAATTCTTGAATAGCCTCAAGGTATGATCTCTGCTTTCATTTCCTGTCGTACTTAATTACTTAAATCAGCAATTCACTGACCAGGTCATGCCATTCATTATAAATTTCCTAAGCGTTTGCTCTGTGCCAGGAATTGTGATGGGTCCTGGGAAAAAGTAATAAATGCACGTGATCATTCTCTTTGAAGAGCCAGCAGGTACATTGCTTTAGGTCACTTATCACAGGCTTGCTGGCATTACAGTAATCACTGTAAGTACCTAGTGGCTCTTCCAGGTTGTTAACATTTGTGAGACAGATCCTTTTTTATTGATCTGTGTGTCCCTAAGAGCATCTAACATGCCTGGCACACAGTAGGAACTTAGAAAATATTTGCTAAATGATTGAATGACAGACTTTGTCATACATTCCCACATTTTGGATTCTGTTTTGTAACTGTTTTATAATTTACCCCTACACTGAGTTGCGTGCCTTTCCTCATGGTCTTCCCAGCACTCCCATTATGTTTTGAAACAAACTTTGTTTTTGAGAGACAGTGAGTGCAAGTGAGGGAGGCACAGAGAGAGAGGGAGACAGAGGAGCCTAAGCAGGCTCTGTGCTGGGCTCAATCTCAAGAATCACAAGATCATGACCTGAGCCCAACCCGGAGGCTTAACTGACTGACCCACCCAGGTACCCCCTTATGTTTTGTATTTAGATGCTGAAACAGAGGACCAGGAAGGTGATGTTACTGGGCTGGAGGGCTCACTGCTTTTAATTAACAAAAGTGGAAGTTGAAGGCAAGGCAGAAGACAATGGATTTGATTCATCATATTATACTGCTTCTCAACTCAATGACTAGTTCAGTACTTCAATGAACACAAAGGAAGTTTACTAATTTACCAAATTTTGTCCATACAAGATCTCAATGTGCATTTTACGGTTATTTAGAATATGATAGAGCTAATTTGCTTTATAATTTCATCATTAAATGCAAGTCATTTTAAATTGAATAGTTGTATTTGAAAATAAAACTCATTCACCAAAATATATTCTGTACCATCCACATTCTACCCAGCCAATCTCACTTTCCTATGTATTATACAAATAGAGATTTTAATAGTTTATGTATTTGATGATTACAGAAAAAGGAAAGGGCATTAAGTAGAATAAACAGCTTATATGAAGGTATATATATCCCCTTGGGAAGAGAGATTACTAAAGACATGTTTAATAAAAGTTTATAAATGCCTTATTCCTGTGACACTAACTCTGAAAGGTATACTTTTCATTAATTTTATATTATATTTTGATTGTATACTCTACCTTAATCATGGTAACAGTAGTTTAAGCATATTTATAAAACTCAAGCTAATTAAAATAAAATGTTTTAAAAACTGAAATGAATAATCTTTTAATTGAATATTAAACATGGAATTCTCAAATTAAGTTATTATTAAAGAAAATGAATTAAAGTTTCAGGAGCTGTTAATTTCAATATTTTTAAAACCTTCAATATGTAAACTCATATTTGAAACAATGAACAGGTCAAGTGATATACAGGTGTTTCTAAATAATATTCCAAGTAAAGTTCAATGTATAGAAATAGGCAAGAGTGAAAGAAATTTACTAACATTTAAAGGTCTTACCTACTAATATTCTATTCTTCTTGATGCCACTTTTTACTTCATCATCAATCAAATCTGTGAGCACTTTACACATTACATTGATGGATTCAAGGTGTTCTGGGCAGTCATTAGATATTTTAAATCTGTCAAACCATACATTGGAGATTCCTCCTTTGATAGGAGTATATGGCCTGTTTAAAACCAGAAAAAAAAAAAGAAGAAAAAAAAGGAAAAGGGAATGTTATTAAAAATGAATGTTTCAATTTCTAAAATACTAGTGTGTTGAATAATTTCATTTTCCTCCAAGTTTTAAAAGTTAAAGAATTCATATTAAAAGCAGCCTCAGGCATACTGCATTAACTTGCCTATAATTACATTGATTCCATTAACATTTACTAATAGTCAACTCATCATCTTTCCTTATTCTCTCCATCTTTTCATATTGATAAATTCTCCAGAAAATCCCCATGAAAAAAGGAATTATACATATAAATTAATATATATATTTACAAATTAATTATAAAATTAATAAATACATAGTGTGCATGCATATATTTTCTTCTGCTCAATTTAAATGACTGATTATTCAGGTCTATTTTTTTTTAATTTGTTTTGATTTGCCTTAGGCCCTTTCTCACCCTCTTGTCCCCCTGTAAATATAGGGTCAATATTTTAGTATTCATAGCTAAGTGAATAATTTTTATCTCTGCAAAAAGTTTAATACCTCAAGAGTGGAAAAAAACATTCACCAAAATGCTTTTAAAAAGTGGTTAATTTGTAGCACTTAAGTATGAAAGATGAGTTCATAATTTAAGAGCTCTCTTGATCTCATCCAGATCATTCTTAGAATGGGGGCTAAATTTTTGTTTAATCAAGAGTTGGAACTTTTATTTTTATCTTCTCAGGAAACTTGAAATCAGAGTTGATCAGGAAACTTGAAATCAGAGTTGAATGGGGGTACAAGTAATCTTTGGAAGCACATGATCATACAGATATTCCATACTGTTTGCATCATTTGGGTCTCAGGCTGGGTGCCTCGTTGGACTCACGTTTTATGTGAGAAGATACTCTAGTTGGGTGCTCTGAATAAAACTGATCTTACATGATGCTTTATATTTACATATAAGGTTGAGATGGTTACAATATTAGTGAAGCTTATTCATTGTGTCAAGGTATTCCAAATGTTCTGTTTTAACCAATTACAGTGGGATTAAGGGTTCCTGTGTTCATGTCCTATGTTGGTAAAGGTAAATGAAGGGAAATGAAAACAATCTTACACGCTCCTCTAAACAAACACAGAGGTACCCAAGGATCTATAAGAATAAACATGGAGAACGAAGGTTTTCCAAAGATGAGGGATAAGAGGATTTGATAAAAGAAACTGTTTTCCACTTGGCCAAATGTTCTTTCCCCTTACATGACAGTGAAAATAGGATTTATGTTCCATGCAAGAAAGCCCTAGAAAACACAACCAGTGCTAAACCTACCCATCATAGGGACTCCTGGGTGGCTCAATTGGTTAAGCATCTGACTCTTGATTTCAGCTGAGGTCATGACCTCACGGTTTTTGAGTTTGAGCCCTGTGTTGGACTCTGCACTGACAGTGTGGAGCCTGCTTGGATTCTCTATTTCCCTCTCTATTTGTCCCCTCTCCGGGCATGCATGCACGTGCGTGCTCCCTCTCGCAAGAATAAACTCAAAAAAAAAAAATAATAATTCAAGCACCCATCATAACAAGAAATCTAAACCAATAATGATCACAGATGCAGAATTCCTCCTATATTTACCACTTTGCCCAACTCAGAGTTAGCTGTTTACTCTCACCCTCCAAAGCGAGTGAAATAAAAGTATGAAATATACAGGTAGAACAACAACAACAACAAAACGGAAGGCTGAAAGACACTGAGATCTGTATGTTCTTTAGTGAAAAACCAAGTAGAACCTCAGTAAACCCTAAAAGCTAGTTAGATTCAATCCTTATTTTCTTATCCACTGGATCAAAAGGACCCCAATGTCTCTGCAGATCTGTCCTTGGGTAATACCCACTCTTTGGGACCAATGGGTGGTACTGAAGACAACAGAACTCATTTTTCTATATTGATCATACCACTCCAAAATAAACCGACATCCACTTTCGGTGCCTGGAAACCAAGAGGATTATATTTGGAAAGTTTCTCAGAGAAACTGAAAGCAATCTAAAAACAAGAGCTCATCTACAAAGGGCCTTGTTTATTTACAAAAACAGAAGAATGTTATAAATGTTACTTTGCAATACACTATCTAAAATCTGAATGTGTATTTTGAGTATCCCTCAAGACAGTACATAAAAACCTACATTTTCTCCTTGTTTATGAAGGTATATGATATTTTGCAAATATGGGAAAGTACATGTGTGTGCTGTTTTGAGGGTTTTCATATAAATCTTACTGATTCTGTGCGCCACTCCACCTCCCCACTGCCCTCCCCCACATCCTGCCCTTCACACTAAGTAAACCATGTTTAGATCTGGAATATACAACCCCGAAGGTGTTTCTTGCACATACATTAAAACATATATCTTTATAGGATATGTTTTACAGCACTATTTTCTTTTCAAATATGAAATAGCCTATTGGCTTTTCTTTTTTTTTTTTTTTTAATTTTTTTTTTCAATGTTTATTTATTTTTGGGACAGAGAGAGACAGAGCATGAACGGGGGAGGGGCAGAGAGAGAGGGAGACACAGAATCGGAAACAGGCTCCAGGCTCTGAGCCATCAGCCCAGAGCCTGACGCGGGGCTCGAACTCACGGACCGCGAGATCGTGACCTGGCTGAAGTCGGACGCTTAACCGACTGCGCCACCCAGGCGCCCCGCCTATTGGCTTTTCTTATGTGCATCATGCTTCCTCCCTTAACAAGACCTTATGGATATCCTTCCATCTGATAGAGTTGGAACTCATCCTTTTAAATGGCTGTATAATTAATACTGATGCTCCACAGTGTCATCAGCCATTCCCCTACTAATGGGCATTTGGTCCTCAGGTTTTAGCCACTAAGAACAGTGCGGCATTAAACATATTTGCATATATATTTTTATGTACTAGGACTTTAATTCCTATGAAAAAGTCCAAGTAACAGAGCTGCTGGATTGAAAGATACAATTTTTATGTTATTAGATGTTTCAAAGTTACTCCCATTAAGGCTGTAAAAAATTCACCTTTATGCAAGAAAAGAGAACATCCTTTTGTCCACAGCCCTAACTGCAATAGGTGCTAACATCCTTTAAAATATTTAAGGGTATCAGCTACAGTTTTAAATCAACTTTCTTGAGGTATAATTCACATACATAAAAGTACATGTTTAAGTATATAAGTCAAAGACCAAACAATGTAATCATCTCCACAATGACACAGAACATTCCCTTTACCTCAGAAAATTCCATCATGGTCCTTTGCTAGCAATTCCCATTTACTTCCCAGGCAAATGCTGAGGGATTTTTATCACGATAGAATAGTGTTTTCTGTTCTAGAACTCAACATCAATGGAATTACCTATTTGTATCATTTGCTATTTTTTTCTACTGTGGTTTAGATTTTATTGCTTTAGAAGAGCACTTGGTCTATAATTGACACTTAAATAGTTGTCATTTGTACTTTATTTTTTAACATCTATTTTTACATATTGACATTATGTATTTATGGTGTCTTTTTAAAAATCAGATAAAAGTAACTGCATTTGATATAGTCTGTCCTTAAAAAACAAAAAAACAACTAAAATTTATAGGTCTCCTGATTTAAGAGGGCTCTTTTCTAATCCATACATGTTTACATATGGAATTCAAAATTTTCTTCTATGATTTTCGTTTTCACTTTTATATTTAAGTCTTGAAATTTCCTGGAATTTATTTCATATATGAAGTGTCATAAGAGTTCAAGTTTGGGGCGCCTGGGTGGCTCAGTCGGTTGAGTGTCCGACTTCGGCTCAGGTCATGATCTCACAGTCTGTGAGTTCGAGCCCCGCGTCAGGCTCTGTGCTGACAGCTCAGAGCCTGGAGCCTGTTTCAGATTCTGTGTCTCCCTCTCTCTCTCTCTCTGACGCTCCTCTGTTCATGCTGTCTCTGTCTCAAAAAAAATAAATAAACGTTAAAAAAAATTAAAAAAAAAGAGTTCAAGTTCATTTTCTCCCATATGGATAATCAATTGCGTCTGTACTACTACTACTAAAAGAAGAAAAAACATCTTTCACAAAGGTGAAATTCCATTTTTTCCATATATTTAATTTTATAGTTCTGACTTATCTAATCTCTCAAAGTAGGTTCTGTGAGAGTTAAGTCCTGATGTCTAACGCGTACTATATATAATAAATGGACTTCTCTCCAATGGATCTGGAATGGTACTAGTTCTGTATTATCCTTGGGGAAATCAAGAAAACAATAACTGAAACCATTTCCTGTGCTTTGTGATTCAGATGAAGAACCCTGGTGGAGAAAGGCTCTATTTTGTTCTACTGATGTATTTACCCATCCTGTGTTAGGATCCTATTGAGTGTATTGAAGTGGCTTTACAGGATGCTCTGAAGTTGAGTAATGCAGTTACTCTCTATCATCATCAAAACCAGTCTCCTTTTCAGACTTGCCCTGCCTCTTCTCAGGCATCCATTCTTTCTCACTTATCTAAGAAATTAATCAAATATTTAGTAATTTTTAAAATGATTTCAAATACTCCTTAAAAGTCCTTGTGGGATTTTAATTAATATTGCATTATTCTATGGGAATTAACACTTGATGACATAAATCTGACATAAGGGAAGATTTTTGCAGACTGAGCTCTTCCCAGGAATTGCCACATTCATATAGGGCTTCTCCTGCATTGTTCTCCAAGCTTTCAATGGGTGCACATGAGATAAAGTTTTCCATCACATTTCTACTAGCACTCCAATAGAACCTACCTCTGCCCTCATTCTGCAGGTCTTCTGACCTCAGAAGCTGCTTGGCTCAAGAGAGGTAAATAAATTGGAATCAGAAGGGGAGAGAACACAGAAAGCATTCAAGCCTCCCACTTCCCAGAATCCCTTTCTGTTATTTAAGAATAACTTTCTTAAAGTACTCTGAAAATGAAAGCAGGTGGTTTCTACTAGTATTAATGTCAGTGTAAGACAAAATGAAATCCCAAACTGTATTCAATTTGTCATTGAAATCAGTGTTCTGAATGAA